TGGGAACCTGCCAGTCATGACTTTGTTTCTTAATGTACATCAAAAACATCCACCACATAGCAGCACAGTCAATTGGCTTGGCAGGTGAAATACGCATTGAATGAGTCAACTTTTCTGAAATTGAAATATGTAGGGTCTTCTGAAACCAAATATGAAGGGGAAAGTGTGACATATTTCTCCATCGCTGGGTAACAACAATCAATATATCCACAACCAGCAAGCATATAATAAGAGTTTTACAAAGTAGTTCTGCATCATCAACCTTGAATACTGATAATACGAACATAGAGCCTGTGTTCTGTTATTATAGGAGGTTCTGTGCTGGATACAAGATTCCGTGCTTATATGTGGGACCAGTTGTTTTGGGAATATGCACATGGGCTTCTCAGGACCCACACAATTCCCTTCTTCAAGACAGTGGATTTTCAGGCATTTGAACAAAGGAGAAAAGAGAACAGCACTCAATCGAGGGTCCCATGTGGTCCTCTTCAGCCCGGGTGCTTTCCTCCTCCTCCTCCTCCTCCTCCAAATTAATGTGTGTGTGATTCCCAAGAGATAAAACTTTGCCCAAGTGCTAAGAAGTTGTCTGATTTTTCTTTTCTGAGAAAATGTGAGACTGGGGGTGGGGGGGAGAGGCGTATGTAACAGGCCATCTTGGGCTGCAGATGGAAACGATTTCAGAGAAGGGGAGAGATCTCAAAATGAAAATAATCCGTGTTTCTGTTTACAAGGTTTAAGCGAGGAGATGAAAACAAAATCAAACCAAGATGCAGGAGTGAGCTGGGAAGGGGGTGGGCGTCTGAGGCGCTCATTTGTGGCGTGTCCTGGGCTAGTGTGGTCCAGCGGCTTGTTAGCGGCTTAGACTTGGACCCGGGTTCAGGCGCTTTCTGGGCTAGGGAAGCTTGCTGGGTGGCCTTGCTCAAGCAAACAGGGATCTCCCTTGACCTTCAGCCTCGTTTGCAGAAGGGGGATCTGAGTGACTTACCTTACAGGTCAAGAAACAAAGAGTAAGGCTGTGCTACACTCCCAGTTACTGGGCATTCAACTGGGTTTTTAATCTGCCTTCACACGACATTATAATAAATGCATCTGTAGCCTGTACTTTGTTATGAGATACTGCTACAGTGGACGCTCGGGTTGCGAACGTGATCTGTGCGGGAGGCACGTCCGCAACCCGCAGCACCCGCAACCCGCAATGGTGCGTCTGCGCATGTACGGGTTGCGATTCGGCACGTCTGCACATGCACAAAGCACAATTTAGCACTTCTGTGCATGCGTGACTGCCGAAACCTGGAAGTAACCCGTTCCGGTACTTATGGGTTTTGGCAGTCCACAACCTGAAAAAACTCAACCTGAAGCGTCTATAACCCAAGGTATGACAGTATTTGATGCAGTTGGGTCTCAAATATGTGAAGGGCTGCCATATGGAAGACGGAGCAAGCTTGTTTTGTGCTGCTCTGGAGGGTATGACCCGAACCAATGGATTGAAACAGCCGGAAAGAAGATTCTGATTAACAGTAGGAAGATTAGAGCTGTTCAAGAGTGGAAGAGACTCCCTCCGAAGGTGGGGACTCTCCTTCATTGGAGGTTTCTAAGCAGAGGTTGGATGGCCGTCTGCCATGGGTTCTGTAGCCGTGATTCCTGCATGCAGATGATTGAGCTAGACCTGGGTCAGCAAACTTACCGCACCTCGGGCAGGTGTCTCCAGCGTTGATTGCGTGGCGGGCTGGAGGGCAGGGGAGCGCATGCCCATACGTGTGCGCACAGACTATTTCTGGCGCAATTCCGGGTCGGAAGAGCACTGGAAAATAGCTTGTGCGCATGTGCACGGGCCTCCTCTGACCCGGATGTGCACCGGAAATAACGTATGCGCAAATAATGCTTGTGCATGCACACAAGCTATTTCCAGTGCTCCTCCAACCCGGAAGTGCGTGGCAGGCTGGAGGGCAGGGGAGCGCATGCCCATATGCATGCGCACAGGCTATTTCTGGCGCAATTCCGAGTCGGAAGAGCACTGGAAATAGCTTGTGCGCATGTGCACGGGCCTCCTCCGACCCGGATGTGCACTGGAAATAACGTATGCGCAAATAATGCTTGTGCATGCGCACAAGCTATTTCCAATGCTCCTCCAACCCGGAAGTGGGCAGTCGTGCAGCGCAGCATTAGTAAGAGCGGGCGGCGGCAGTAGGCAGTGGGGGTCACAGTGGGCCAGATAAACGAGTCCCTCGGGCCTTATCCGGCCCGCTGGCCTTAGTTTGGGGACCCCTGAGCTAGATCATGGGTAGACAAACTAAATCCAGCCTGCGGACAGTCCAGGAACCAGTGTGTTTTTACATGAGCAGAATGTGTCCTTTTATTTCAAATGCATCTCTGGGTTATTTGTGGGGCATAGGAATTCGTTCATTTTCTCTCTCCAAAATATAGTCTGGCCCCCCACAAGGTCTGAGGGACAATGGACCGGTCCATGGCTGAAAAAGCTTGCTGACCCCTGAGCTAGCTGGCCCTCGGGGAACCCTTCTAACTATATAGTTCTATGATTATGTAAATGCGCTTCACACACATTGGAGTCCTAAAGCTGCTTCTAATCGATCTCTAGCCAAGGCATGAACACCCCTGCATAGGGTAAAGGCATCACCACCCGTCAACATCCCCCCCCCCGAATATACATGAACAGTAATGAAACTGACACTAAGGAACCCATGCTGGTGTGAACAGCTGAGGGGAGAAAAAGCACTGGGCATAGCTGTCAACGTTTCCCTTTTTTAAAGGGAAATTCCCTTATTCCGAATAGGATTCCTCGCAAGAAAAGGGAAAAGTTGACAGCTATGGCACTGGGGGAAACACAAATTCTCTGCGCTCTAAGGCAGCAATTTGAACACACCCTAATAATGAGAGTGTGGTGCCATTCCCCTGAGTTTTGGGGATCAAATAGGTTTGGCACATAGGTCAGTATCAGGCCATGGCTGTACAAATGCAGGCAGCTCTCCCATCTCCTCTAGCTGGGGCTGTCCCATAGCAAGCAACAAAGCTGCAGGCATCTTGCCCTTAGAGGTTGCCAGGTTCAGACATGATGAGAGTCTCATACAGGGCCAAGGTGAGGCATTCCACGTGAATTTTGTGGTGGTTTAAGAGCACAATTTTGTGGTGGTTTAAGAGAAGAAATATCAACAACCTCAGATATGCAGATGACACAACCTTGATGGCAGAAAGTGAGGAGGAATTAAAGAACCTTTTAATGAGGGTGAAAGAGGAGAGCGCAAATTATGGTCTGAAGCTCAACATCAAAAAAACGAAGATCATGGCCACTGGTCCCATCACCTCCTGGCAAACAGAAGGGGAAGAAATGGAGGCAGTGAGAGATTTGACTTTCTTGGGCTCCATGATCACTGCAGATGGTGACAGCAGCCACGAAATTAAAAGACGCCTGCTTCTTGGGAGAAGGGCAATGACAGGCCTAGACAGCATCTTGAGAAGTAGAGACGTCACCTTGCCAACAAAGGTCAGTATAGTTAAAGCCATGGTTTTCCCAGTAGTGATGTATGGAAGTGAGAGCTGGACCATAAAGAAGGCTGATCGCCGAAGAATTGATGCTTTTGAATTATGGTGCTGGAGAAGACTCTTGAGAGTCCCATGGACTGCAAGAAGATCAAACGCATCCATTCTAAAGGAAATCAGCCCTGAGTGCTCACTGGAAGGACAGATCATGAAGCTGAGGCTCCAGTACTTTGGCCACCTCATGAGAAGAGAAGACTCCCTGGAGAAGACACTGATGCTGGGAAAGATGGAGGGCACAAGGAGAAGGGGACGACAGAGGACGAGATGGTTGGATAGTGTTTTCGAGGTTACCAGCATGAGTTTGACCAAACTGCGGGAGGTAGTGGAGGACAGAGGTGCCTGGCGTGCTCTGGTTCATGGGGTCACGAAGAGTCGGACACGACTAAACGACTAAACAACAACAACAAAAGAGCAGCACAATGGCAAGAATTCAGTTCATTTCACTGCCATGGAGTGGGGTGTGCAGGCGCCTGTTCTGTTTGGGTTTTTCCTCTTTTTGTCTTCTGCCGTGTTTTGCCCGAAATGTCTGGTGGTGTAGAAATGACCAAGGTTTTGCTGGCCCCCATTTCTAGTGAACTCTGTCTTCTTAGACACTAATGATCTTTGGGATACCTCCCCCCCCCCACTTGAAATATATATAGTTGTTTTGTTTTGGGGATTGGGGAGGGAGGGGGAGTCGGTTGGTTGTTCTTACTCCTGCTCAAGCACTAATGGGTAATTTCATCTGGGAGCTGTAAAGGAACTCCCTCTTTGCTTCAAAAGGGGATTCAAGAAATCACGGAGGACAGATCTGCCAGGGGCTGTTATTAGGTATGGTGGCTAAATTGAGCCTCCATGTCCTGACGCAGTCTGCCTCTGAATACTAGTGGCTGGGAAGCAACCGGGGGGTGGGGGTGGGGTTAATGCATTTGTGTCTGGTTTGTTTCTCTCCACTAATTTGTCTAATCCTCTTTTCAAGCAATCCAAATTGTGTGGCCATAAGTCAGTTCCATAGTTTAACTGTGTGCTACGTGAAAAAGCACTTTCTGCCCTAAAATGCCCAGCATTCCATAATCATAATAATCATAATAATAATAATAATATATTATTATTCATACCCCGCCCATCTGACTGGGTCTCCCCAGCCACTCTGGGCGGCTTCCGACCAAATATCAAAAACAATACAGCGTCAGACATTAAAAACTTCCCTAAACGGGGCCGCCTTCAGGTGTCGTTTAAAAGTAAAATAGTTGTTTATTGCCTTGACATCTGCTGGGAGGGCATTCCACAGGGCGGGCGCCACTACCGAGAAGGCCCTCTGCCTGGTTCCCTGTAATCTCACTTCTCACAGTGAGGGAACTGCCAGAAGACCCTCGGAGCTGGACCTCAATGTCCGGGCTGAATGATGGGGGTGGAGACACTCCTTCGGGTATACTGGACCGAGGCCGTTTAGGGCTTTCAAGGTCAGCACCAGCACTTAGAATTCTATCCAGCTTGTTTCTAGTAATCTGAGAGAGGGACAAAATGCACCTCTCAGTCCATTTTCCCCACCCTGTGCATGACTTTGTACACAAGCCTCAAATGTTGCTTCCTTTCGTCATCGTGACGAGTTCCTCTTCCGGTTCCTAGATAATTTTTGTTGCCCCCCTTTTTTTGTCCAGCTCTACAATGGTCTTTTTTGAGTTCTGGCAACCAGAACTCATAAACTGGGTTTATAGAAGACAATCTTACTCGGCTACGAGTGATCGCCAAAGAAGAAGATGATTCCAATTTTGTTGCGCCACCGATTTGTATAAAGCCCTGCCTGCGTCACACTCCCCTCCCTGCTCCTCTGCTGGCTGAATTTGTGTGGGGCTTTAGCCTGGCTCAACCAAAGTCCCAGCTGATGCAGTCACTGCTTCGGCATTCTGTCTCTAGACATCTGAAGCAAAGCCGTCCCAGTTTCAAGGTGTCGTTTGTGGCTCCCGCTGCCTGCATCACGGCCCAGGATAGGCCCTGCCCTGCCCTGCCAGCCCTTCCTGTGGCTCAGGATGCTGATTCCCAGAAGAGGGAGATGTCAGCTTTGAGGGCAGATGGTGGGCAGAGGCCAGGTGGCAGCTGTGGGTGGGGTGTGCCTTCCTGCTTGCTCCAGGGAGGGGACACGAAAAGCGCAAGCGGCAATTCCATTTGGCATGTACGTTTCCTCTGGGAATCACAAAGCGATTTCGCCTGTGTTGCAAGGCTTTTCTGGAGAAGGGAAAATAAACACATGTTGCTGAAGCTGAGCCCCATTAATCATCCTGCAACAACGAGTCAAACTGTTAAAAAAGAAGAAAATTCCTTCAACTGGGGCCAAGATAATCACATCCCAAATCTTGCCTCCAAACTGAATATCTCGGAGGGTGAGGAGCCTGACCAAAGCTGCTGAAGGGTTCCCACAGTTGCTAGAGTCTCCGTCTGCGTTAAGACTCGAGTCCCTGTCATCACTCAGAAGATATGGCTAAACATAGGAATTAACCCTTGTGACCCTGGAGTCGGTCGCTGCAAGGGCCACAGAATAAATGTGCTCACCCGTGCAAGGTGGTTTGAGCACAGAACGCCAATCCTGCCCTGACTGAACTGGCTGCCAGTCAGTTTCTGGGCCCAATCCGAAGTGCTGGGTTTGAGCTACAAAGCCTTAAACAGCTCAGGTCCACAATACCTCAAGAACCGCTTCTCCACATATGAACTGACCCAGACCCTAAGATCATCATCTGAGGCCCTCCTTTGTGTGCCTCCTCCATGAGAGGTCTGAAGGGTAGCAACATGAGAACAGGGCCTTTTCTGCAGTGGCTCCCCGTTTCTGGAATGCTCTCCCCAGGAAGGTTTGCCTGGCTCCTTTGTTACATATCTTTAGTTGCCAGGCAAAAACATTCTTCTTCTCCCAGACCTTTGGCTAATTAAACAATCTATAGCCTTTTAAACAGTGTGTGTGTATAGGAGGGGGGTATTGTTTTTGCTTGTTACTATGTTGTGTATTTTTGTGTTTTTATATTGTAAACCGCCCTGTGATCATCGGATAAAGGGTGGTATGAAAATGTTGTTGTTGTTGTTGTAACTCCCAATGAGACTTATGCCTGTGTGTTCTGAAGCAGTGGCTTTCTCTCTCTTTGTGTGGGTATCTTTGGCACAGAATATTCTTGAGCATCCTATGTGTGGCTGGGGCAGTTGTGGAATGCTGATCAACAGTGCAGCTTCTGTGAGGAAAGTGAAAGGTCAATCTGACTGGTGAAGGTGGGGGAATCACACAGAGCCTGCAAGGGATTGTGAGCTGTTGGACGTAAAAGAGGAGCTTAGTGACTAGGAGAAAGCATAAAGTTGAGGAGAGCTTGTGCTTGATAGCAGCTGATGTGGGAGTGCTGTGTTCTCGGCAACCCGCCATCTTGTCTTGAACATTGGGAAATGGGCCAACAATGAGCTGGACCTGGCTTTCATTAACAAACTGACTCTGGGTGGAAAAGGATCACCCATGCAGACCGGAGCAGCAAGGATATCCTTTCTCCACTTCTGCTTCTCTCATTAAAGCCGCTGTAGCTGCTGATGGGGAAATATGAGGAGGAAATGCCCAAATAAATGACTGGTGGGATGATGGTGGTGGAGGGGAAGGAATTGGATGGTCTAATAAGCTAGGTCTTTGGATCTGGTGGTAGGATCTGGTGATGACTGGGTGAGAATATGTGGTAGGTAGATATTCCATCTATATATACCCATTTAGGACTGTGGTTAAGTGTCTTGCACTAAGACCTGAGAAACCAGGGTTCAAATCCCCCCTCAGCCATGGGGAGCTCACTGGGTGACCTTGGGGACCAGTCACTGTGTCTCAGCCCAACCGACCTCATAGGGTTGTTGTGGGGATTAAATGAGAAGGTCGGGACCATGTATACCACCTTAAGCTCCTTGGAGGAAAAAGGTAGAATATAAATGCAATAAAATATAAGAAGAAGAAATAAAATAAAATAATAAAACCACAACGGATCACCAGTACTTGTGCCCAGAACAGTTAGCTGTGTAGGAGTTGGTAAAGATGCACAAGTTTCCCAATCAAGGGCCTAGTCCTCATGAACAAGCTCAGGCTGAGAGAAGTGCTCAAAGCACACACACACATAGCTTTGTCCAGGTACCTTGAAGCTTTTCAGACCCAGGAGCCACTTTTAACCCAAACATGCATTTTGGGATCCATTTCTTAACATTTCACCATATAATTGCACAGTGGTATTGCTCCTGTTGTCACCTGCTTTGTATCAGGCCTCAGCCCACTACTGCAATAGTGTGTGTGTGTGTGTGTGTGTGTGTGTGTGTGTGTGTGTGTTAAGAGGCAAGGGGGTGGCAGCGGGCACTGGAGGTGTAAATGAATATCAGACTTTGAAAAGCTGACATCACCGGATCAAGTTCATCCATTTTGCCGAATGATTTTGAACAACAACAACAACTTATTATTTATACCCCGCCCATCTGGCTGAGTTTCCCCAGCCACTCTGGGCGGCTTCCAATCAAGTGTTAAAAACAATACAGCATTAAATATTAAAAACTTCCCTAAACAGGGCTGCCTTCAGATGTCTTTTAAAAAGAAGATAGCTGCTTATTTCCTTGACATCTGATGGGAGGGCGTTCCACAGGGCGGGCACCACCACTAAGAAGGCCCTCTGTCTGGTTCCCTGTAACCTCACTTCTCGCAGTGAGGGAACCGCCAGAAGGCCCTCGGTGAATAAATGTGCAATTAATCATTACTGTTTTGACTTTTATTGTGTTATTCTCCTCCTTACTTGGATTGTGGAAACGGCTGTTCTGAAAAATGTTTTTGGTAGGGTGCAGAAGGGGGGCACTGAGGATGAGCTTGTGGAACCGGGGGGGGGGGGGCAGCAGCCTGAAAAAGTTTGGGAACTCCTGTACTCGTACGTCCTGATCCACCAGCTGAAGATCAGCGTTCAGCCAATACGCCCCAGACTCACCCTTTGTTCTCTTGCAGGTAATGGCATCACACTGGAAGGGGCGGTCCCGTCTGAGCAAGACAGCCAGCCAAAGCCAGCAAAGAGAGCCCGGACCTCCTTCACCGCAGAGCAGCTACAGGTAGAGAGCCGGGTGGGCTCTCTCAAGAGTGGTAGTGGGATGCAGGACGAGGAGAATGCTGGCGACATGCCTGGGTTACTCTTGAGTATTGTCCTCCTCTTAGGTCATGCAAGCACAATTCGCTCAGGACAACAACCCAGACGCACAGACCCTTCAAAAGCTGGCAGACATGACAGGGCTGAGCAGGAGAGTGATACAGGTGAGGCTCTGAGCGCAGCACTGGTGGCCAAAAGGACTTGCCCTGTGGGCCACCAAAACCACCCGTCTGCATCAGACCAAAAGATCCATCTAGCCGAGCTCCTTGGTCTCTTACGCCAACCCGCAGGATGCCTACGGAAGCTTTGCAACCAGGTGCTATGGGCATCACAGACCCTGTTTTTGTTTGGTTCCCTGAATTGTGGGTGGGGCGGGGTGGGGGTGGGGGTTTGCCAACATTCCACGGAGGTGACAGTCTCAGAGTATTACCCAGCAGGTAAAATAGCAGGGTGGGGTGGAGGAAATGGCACATATGAAGAGTATGCAAAGGACTGTGGAAGGAAAAGGTACAGGGAAGCTAGCAGTTTCATAGGCTCATGGAGTTGGAAGGAACCCAAAGGCTCATCTAGTCCAATCCCTTGCACTGCAGGTTTGAGGAAGAACTAGTGCAAATGTTAAGGAAAAGCATGGAGTGCTATAATAATAATAATAATAATAATAATAATAATAATAATAATAATATTTGTACCCCACCCAACTGGCTGGGCTTCCCCAGCCACTCTGGGCAGCTTCCAACAAAGATTAAAAATACATTAAAATGTCAAACATTAAAAATTTCCCTGAACAGGGCCACCTTCAGATGTCTTCTAAATGTCAGGTAGTTGTTTATCTCTTTGACATCTGATGGGAGGGCGTTCCACAGGGCGGGTGCCACCACCGAGAAGGCCCTCTGCCTGGTTCCCTGTAACTTGGCTTCTCGCAGTGAGGGAACTGCCAGAAGGCCCTCGGTGCTGGACCTCAGTGTCTAGGGGCGGAGACGCTCCTTCAAGGATACTAGGCTGAGACCGGTTTTAATCATAATCACAAACTCTCAGGACTGGGAAATATTTTAATGCTTCCCTGTGGCAAGAACTGTTTGTGCAGAGGATTCTAGCATGGCGGGGGGACCTTTCCCCCCAAAGAGCTAACTTTCCAAATGTAGGGTGTGTGCATGTATTTTAAACAGCAAGGGTGCATTCAAAAACATGACCCTCTCCAGCAGTATGAATTATGCCATTCCAGGTAAGCTGTACTGCAAGCTTTCCCAAAATTCTGAATTAGCTTGAAGGGGGAGGGAGGGGAGACTGTAAAATGTCCACGGGATGCTCTACTCAATAAACAAGGACGAAGGGCGGTGGAGGAAGAATGAGATGCTAAAATGTCTGATTTATTACTCATAAAATAATGTTTGATTGACCTAAAGTGGGTCTGCAGTAAGACACTCTGGCAATGGCTGTGGTGACAGAGGATGATGAGCCCAGCTCATCCATTCTGAAGCTGATATATCAGAGAAAGAGATGAACTGACCGCCTGGGTAGCCTTGCTGACATGTGACACTCCAGGGAGTTGGGCTAGATGACACTTTGACTTTGGACCCCTTCCAACTCTACACATCTATGATTCCATCTTGCAGACATCCTTTTTGCTATCAACCTGACTGCTCCCCAAGACCCCTCTTTTGCCCATCAATGGTATATATTTTTGCGCTTCTGTTTTCCTCTGATGTATTCTCCACCAGGGTGAAACAGAAGCACCAGGAGTGGTATTCAACTAAGTCTTACTCAGAGCAGACCTACTGAACTTAGTGGGCCATGTTCATTGAATTCAATAGATCTACTCTTGAGTACTAGGGACACGGGTGGCGCTGTGGTCTAAACCACACAGCCTTGGGCTTGCCGATCAGAAGGTTGGCGGTTCGAATCCCCACGATGGGGTGAGCTCCCGTTGCTCGGTCCCTGCTCCTGCCAACCTAGCAGTTCGAAAGCACGTCCAAGTGCAAGTAGATAAATAGGTACCGCTCCGGCGGGAAGGTAAACAGCGTTTCCGTGCGCTGATCTGCTTCGCCAGAAGCGGCTTAGTCATGCTGGCCACATGACCCAGAAGCTGTACGCCGGCCCCCTCGGCCTATAGAGCGGGATGAGCATTGCAACCCCCAAGTCATCTGCGACTGGACCTAACGGTCAGGGGTCCCTTTACCTTTATCTTTACTCTTGAGTAAAACCTAGCAAGTTTTTTTTGGTTTTTTTTTTACAAAATCAACACAGCTGTGCCTCCCTCTCAAAACGCCTCTTGCATTCCAGGTTTGGTTTCAGAACTGCAGAGCGCGCCATAAAAAGCACACGCCCCAACACACGGTGCCCCCATCTGGAGGCTCCCAGTCCCGCATCCCTTCGGTGTTGCCTGACGACATCCACTATTCCCCCTTCAGCAATCCTGAACGTGCAAGGATGGTGACCTTGCACAGCTACATAGAAAGTAAGTGTTGACAGCCACGCTTAAAAACAGCGTAGTGGCTGAGAAAGCTGATGTAGCATGCATTAGGTTCAAGTCTCATCACTGCAGGAATAGCCAGACAAACCTCTCTCTCTCTTTCTCTCTCTCTTAGCCTCAATCCTCCAGTTTGCATGATGGGGGTATCAGTACTGACCTATGGTAGTGCAGGTGACACACCTTAAATATCAGGGTTGCAATCCTAAACACATTTGCTAGGAGTGGGCAACCTTCAGCCCCTGTTAGCCTTGGCCTTATTTCACAGGACGCTCAGATTCATTTCATATGGGTGGCAAGTACGGAAAAAGGGAGGGAGGGAGGGGGAGAGAGAGAGAGAAGAGCTGCCCCCTTCTGCCTCTGACCCCAGGCACCAGTGACCCTAGGTCAGGCATAGGCAAATTTCGGCCCTCCAGGTGTTTGGGACTACAATTCCCATCATCCCTAGCTAACAGGACCAGTGGTCAGGGATGATGGGAATTGTAGTCCCAAACATCTGGAGGGCCGGAGTTTGCCTATGCCTGCCCTAGGTCCTCACCAGTGCCAGCCTATGGTCCACAACCCCAACAGACTGATTTATTTTAGCCTATATATCTATACTACAGTCATACCTCATGTTACGTTTGCTTCAGGTTGCACATTTTCAGGTTGTGTTCCGCGGCGACCCGGAAGTAATGGAATGGGTTACTTCCGGGTTTTGCCACGCACACACACGCAGACGCGCAAAATGATGTCACGTGCATGCACAGAAGCAGCAAATTGCAACCCGCAGACGTGGGTTGCGTTCTTTGCAGGTTGTGAACGGGCCTCCAGAACGGATCCCGTTTGCAACCAGAGGTACCACTGTACTTAATACATAAAATATCTCTAAGATGCTGGAAGATTCAGGATGGATAAAAGAAAGGACTCCTTTGCACAGAGCATGGTCCAACTGCGGAACTTTCCTCCCACAGGAGGCAGTGATGGCCACTAACTTAGAGGGCTTTAAAAGAGAATCAGGCAGATTCGTGGCGGAGGAGAGGGCTGTCCATGGTTACTAGCTGCCATGGCTTGGCTCGGCCTCCAAAGGAGGGGAGAAAGTGCTCGTGTGCTCGGGCCCTGCTTGCAGACTTCCCACAGGCATCTGGGTGGCCACTGTGAGAACAGGAGGCCGGACTAGAAGGGCCCCCTTTGGCCTGATCCATCGGGGCTCTTCTCAGGTTCATTCATGGTGGTATCCGTACTGTAGCTCCTTCTTGCCCTTCGAGAACTCTGGGCCTCTTGGCTCTCACTCATGGCTCTCACATCTCTTGGCAAAGAGGGTCTCCTCAACTTGCTGAGCTCACTCAAAGAGAGTGTGGATCCCGAGAGAGAAAAAGATCACCCACCCCTAGACTAGGTAAGGAGCCCCACTGGATAAATTGGGATGAAGTTGTGAAGAAGGGTACAGAGGATTGTTGTGATCCAAGGTGTTGAGTGACCAAGAATCTCTCCATGAAACAAACCAGCTGACCCTGTCAAAAGGATGGAATTTAAATGTGGAGGGAGGTGCCTTTGCTGAGGATGAATTCCACCCCCCCCTTTTGCTTCTTGGGTTTCCATAAGGCTTGCGTTGCTCCTCACAGAGATCCAAAATCCTGCTCCAATCTCGCACAACTAAGCCAAGGTGCAACTCAAGGTGCCCTCTGTTGCCTGCCTTTCATGACCTCTCACATGTGGCAGCTGCAGAGGGACCATCATTGTGTATTTTGGGCACAACACATGTGCACAATGGCATGGGGAGATAGCAACAGCTGGGACTGGAGTACCAGTTACCAGAACGTGCAGCAGAATGAGGTACTGAGGTGGGCGGTGGGTGGGAAAGATCCCTTGGAGAGACTCATGTTTGGCTACTGGAACCCTATTTGGTGCACAAATACAGGGTGAGTCCTCTAAAAGTGGCCCCGTGGATACAGAGCACACATGTTCCACGGGGCCTCTTTTAAAAGACTCACCCTGTACTTTGAGATAAATATTTTGGGAGAATTGGGATACTAACCATCCAAGAACAGAATACTTCACAGCGTCATGCTTTCTCCTTAAAACCAATATTTTTGTAGCTGGTGTTTCTCATGCCCTGTGGCTTCCTCTCCTTGCCCTCCACTTGTGAAGCCAAGGGGCATGGAATTCTCAAAAGCACATCAGCAATGCTTTTTGTTTGATCACCAAAGAATAAGGCTCGAAGCTGCCTTCTCATTCACAGGTCAGGTACAGTGTGGACAGATGCATTGCCGCCTCCCTTATGCTGCCCCTCCTGTGCATCTCAAAGCTGACATGGAAGGACCCCTGTCGAGTAGGGGGGAGAAGGTAAAGGTGGTCTCACTTCTGCAATAACCAGTGCTGCTTCCACACCTCCCATCCCACTGCCCCACCTCCACAATTCCGCAGCGCTATTCCCACAAAACCTGAATCCGATGCAAAAGAGCCACCCAGTCTAGCTAGAGCAGAGATGGCCAAACTTGGCCCTCCAGCTGTTTTGGGACTACAATTCCCATCATCCCTGACCACTGGTATGATTTCTTTGTGCATGGGGACGAATCCATAGCTTTGTGCTGGGGATTATGCTTTGTATGCAGGAGGCCGCTGGTTCAATCTCTAAGATATTGGGCAGCAGGACTGGGAAAGCACCTCATTAGCTGAAGCCTTGGGAGAGTGGTTGTCAATTGGAATAAGAGGTCCTGGGCTTGGTGGAGCAGTGGTTTGTTCTGAGCTGCTCACTTCCTTGCCCAAGAGACAACACCAAATATTCCAAGACTTATGGAATATTTGCAACTCTTGCTTTGTTTTCAGATACGCAAGCAGAGCACAAGTGGAGGCCAACAGCTGGTGCCTCCTGCAATGTGGCAGATCAGCTTCCTTGCATAAAATCCCCAAGGGCAGAGACCCTGAACCCCACCCCTACCCCTGCAGCCTTCAACAAGCTCTAAGCTTTGCTTCTTGTTGCCTCTACACACAGACACACGTGTGGCTCACGGCATATTTCTTTCCACATTTCATAGAATTGTAAGTTGGAAGGGACCCCCGGGGGTCATCTATTCCAACCCCTTCTATATTTGGCAGCCTACCAGACTGCAGCTTTCTTCAACACTGGTGATGAGACAGCACTGCCACACTAAGTGCAGCAAGGTACTGGGAAGGGGAGAGGAGAGGAGAGGGGGAAAGGGCAGGCATGAAGCACACGGCTCTGCCCTCCAACCCATCATTGTCCGAGGCCACTGCTGCCTCCTGCCTTGTGGCTGGGCTTCCCCCTGCAAGCTGGCGTGGTGTCACCTTTCCCACGCACAGTCAATCTCACATATACTGTATTCCTAACCATCTCCCTGCTATCCTCCTGGGCTACTATTCCACAACTTGCCTAAAAGAGGAGTGGTTGGACAGCACAGTATATTCACTTGGAGGCCCTCAACCAGTTTGGCACTGCCTTTCTTTAAGAGGAAGAGATGTCGCGGGGGAAGGCATTGCTGACAAGAAGCCTAGAGGGTTCAGGGTGATGTTGGGGAGGTCCCTATAAGTCCTGAGTGGCTCAGGGGCACAAAGTGACCCTCTGTTGGTGAAAGAGGGGTGTAGTCTGGGGTGTGGAGAGCCTTTCCCTTTTGTGTTGTTGCACAGGCCCCTACCATAGCTCTGGGTTCTCCAATTGTGTGTTGCTGAGTCCCTCTGTATGGCTTTCCTGACAGGTCATCCTCTTCCAGTACTGACTGCTCCTGCTCTTCGTGACGTCCCAGGGATACTTGGTGGTGGTGGCGGCACTGAATCATACACACCAGCCAATCCACAGCAACTGCAGACCCTCATGCTGCGGTAACCCACCCGTGGTGGCACTCCTGATCCCCTTCCACGAATCCGGCACCTGAACCTCCACGGCTCTGCAGCACATTCCCGATGACCGCTGAGCCCGTGACTTCCCTTGTGGAACCGTTTGGCTTTCAAAGACTCCAAGGCAGCGCATCTCCCTGGCAGAAGCAACCAAGGACTTCAGTTCAGTAGAGTTTCAACAGCATGCACTGTGGACTTGTTTCTTTCAATGCTTTTGGACTTGTATCTTTCAATGCTTGTCATCAAATGCTTTACAACCACCTGATCTTTGACCTTCCCTGTAGAGAACATGCCCACCTACTCCTTTGACAGGCAGGGGGTCTGCAGCTTTGAATACCAACATGGGCTATCTGTGCCAGGAGAGTTCTATCCAAGCGCCACACACACTTCCAACCCAGTCACCACCCAACATCAGGGTGTGTGTGCGTTTGTGGAATCAGTTCCCACAATTGAGGATTCAATTCCCAATTCCTAGGAGCCACAATGAAGTTGTCAGGGTCTAGGTCCCAGCACAGAACTGAGAAAATATTTGACTATTCCTTGGTGTCAGCACCAAACTTTTTAACAGCTGTGCAATGAACAGGTGCCTGGGGTTCTTAGTGTTGCAAAAACTATTGATTTGTTTACCACTTGGGGGGCCTTGGCTAAAGTGTATTATACTACAGAAATAAATGGATAATTATGGTGATGATGAAACCTGGAATTTCAGCTTGATATCTCCTCCCCTATACAAAGCACAGTACTGTCTTACTCTGACTGGCAGCAGCTCTCCAAGGTCTCAAGCTCTGCTTCACCATAAATAGATGGCTGCTGGATGATACATTGGTGCCAATGCAAACTAGCCCTCTGTCAAAAAAAGTCATTGCCCTCCTGTAGATCCATTTTCCTCTTTTATCATCCATCCAAAATGTATGCCGTGCCAGAGCCACTCCTTGGGAACAAGTCCATGAGCAATTACTTACCACCCCTCCCAGTTAGAATTGATTGTTCCCTTAGCCTCCTTCCCTGAGGGCTGCTTCTCCTGGGCAGCTGGCTCAAAAGGCAAGGGCACAGGTTTCCCTGTCACTGCAGTAGCCAAGCTGGGTTGGTCCACCCTTTCAGTGGTTTTGATCTCTGTGGCTGAGGCTTTTACCAATACTCGTAGCAGTGGGAATTTGGAGCAGGGGCCAGCTCAGACTAGCCTCTTAAAGGTAAAAATGAGGATGCCCAGGAGTGGGGTAGGGATGTGTCCTCCTTTTCCGGAATGGTTCCTGAGTTTCTGGTTGAGGACTGCAGTACTATTTGGGCACGGCTGAAGCAGCTGCCTCCATGGCGGCCTTGCACCCAGAAGCCACAGATGTGCTGTTGGGGATGCAGGAATGCACAAGATCTTCGTCCCCTCTGCTGGGAGGGCGTATTGCCACTTGGGACTCCTCATGCGCCTTTGAAACCAAACATGAACACATTGCTCAATGTGGTAGCACTTGGTAACTGAGGGAAAAGAGACTGACTGTGCAACTCAGTCCTAAACAGCCTTCCTCAGAAGCTCAACAGAGCTCTGCACTCTCCAGTAAGTGTGCAGAGAGTTGCAATCTTAAGAATGGATGCAGACCAGGCACACACAGCAGGCCTTCCTAGGATTTCCCATAACTATTCTTAAAATGTAAAAGCAGCTGCAAAGATGCAAACTGGATCAGGGCCAGTCTGGTGCTGGGCGAGCTCCCCCCCCCCATTAAAAAGACACAACAGCCTGCATTTTCTCAATTTAAATTGCCCCTCCCCCAAAGCTGCTTTTGCTTATAGTAGAAAACATGCAGGCACACTATGTACGAGCGGCTAAGAGGTGAGGACTAGCCCAGTGCAGAAGAATGGACAGTTGCAGTCAACTGTTATATCTAAAGTGAGTATTGTAATCTTTCTCTCCCCCCCACCCCCCGCCAATCCTATTCCTCATCTCTGCAGGAAGCCTTAGGCTGTGTTCCTTGCAAATCTCAGGAAGCAGCCAGGACCAGCTTTTAAACTTGAGAAATCTTTTTGGCTCTGCTGTGTAAAACCTGGAAACAATTCATAATTAGTTAAACGATGCCTATGGAAAATAAACGACTGTCCTGAGAATGCAACACATCCCCTAATTATTTTAGTCCACTGACTCTCGTTAGCCAATGTGTTTACACTGACTGATGGTGTTGAAAAAAGTCTTATGCCGGGTCCAAACAAACAAATCTGAGCAAAGACGCTCTTTGCATTCAGTTTGCTGACTCTGTAGTTGTCGAAACAGTTTTACAGGGCAAGAAAGCCAATGTTCACCCTGATCCAACAGTTATGATACGCATGCAGTGGCTTTGATGCTTGCAGATGAAGCTCCATGTAAGCAGCAGCTGCTCCATTTGTTTCACTGTCACATTAAACTGAACAGGCAAGCCTTCTGCTCCCATGGAACTCAACATGATCACTGGAAGCCCTCTGGCGTCTTGGACTATGGGCAGCTACACTTTTGTAAGGTATTTACAAAACTGTTCCTGACTGTGCCTCTCTTCTGTCAAATCTTTTGGGCTAAAATTAATCGAAAGTCTTTTGAAATACTTGAATTTGAAGCATCGGTGCTAAAATGTCATGTACTTTCTTGCCTACCCCAGGGTCAGTGAGTTAAGTCCCCACTAGATTGGCCAACGATCCTATTTTAATGCAAGGCTGCACCAACGGACAGTGGCCTAGATGGGGCTGGATGCACTTCATACAAAGACAAAACTTGGTATTGGGCATGGAACTCAGCTTTGGTTTTTTTAAAAAAAGATTATATATCCTTAAGGCTAGAAATGTGGATATCTGGCAGAACATTAGAAGGCAGGGCACATATTAGGAATGCTTCCCAGGAAGTAAGGAAGGCAAGACTTTCATGCATAGTCCTCCCCGCCCCCCTCCTTGGCAAAACCAGAATGAATCAGGCAAATTATGCTTGATTTGCATAACTGATGCAGGTTGAACCTGACATGGCTTCTTCAGAAGCCAGAGCTATGTCCCCTCCCTCCCTCCCTCCCTCCCTCCCTTCTTCTTCTTTCTCTCTCTCTTGCTTTGATTAGCTTCACACTCCAGAACAAGGAGTGCCTAGGACTGTGGTGTAAACTGGGCAACAGGGGCTTCGGACACCAGTGATACCAGAAAAAAGGGAGGTCTCGCAAGGTGATGCCAGCTGCAGAAACTCAGCCAAGTTTTTCTTGAAAAAGAAGCAGATTGTTTTGTTTGTAGCATGTTGCAATTGTGCATGTCTTGGCTAAAAATACCCTTCTAAAGAGCAGGCAGTCAAGATCAATATTTATTTAAGAAGAGAGGGAAAATTGGGGGGGGGGATGTAAAGCACTTTTTAAATTGTAAAACCAATGTCTGTTTTGTTACCTACTTTTACTGTTGTGCTTTGTAAATGTCTTATTTGTGTAATAAATAAAGTTAACGCAAGTCGAAGTGCTGGCACTTACATCAAAGGAAACGGTGCAATTCCATTTTTCTTTTATTTCAGAAATGCTTCTGCAGCCTCTAGAATTCCAAAGGCAGCCCGCCCCATCACCTTTGTTGAGAACACCGATGTTCGTGGCAAATGGGTTTCATTCTCCCCCTTTGCCAAACCAGTTATTAAAAACCGTCGCTTCTGAGCTCGCCGTTACAACAGCCAATTAATATCCAAGTGCGGGGGAAAGATCCACTGTAGCTTGTGGGTGGGTGTGCAACCGGTATATAATATGGTGTTGAGAGACGGCAAGGCAGCCTTTTGAGTTAATTCTTTTGTGCTCACAGTATAGACTATAAAAAGCCTACCAGGTTGCACACCTTGTGGGAATATTATAGTAAATATAGGGTGATTATTTGCACAATTTCCTCTTAATGCCGCTGATGAAGTGAGGGGTTTACATCTTGTTTGGTTAGCAAAGGTAACAAAAAACTACCCTAATGGAGAAATTATAGGTGCAGAGTCCTTGAGCACGGAAGCAGAAGGCTTCAATGGGAAGTCTGTTTCTCTGTTTTCCTTAATGAGGTTTACTCCTTTGGCTTGAAACCAATGATCTCGTCCCAACCTTTCCGACAGGTCCTAACAATCCAGTCATGTTCATCATCATCTGAGGGGGTGGGATGGGGGGCGGGTGAGAAACAAAAGAAGCATCAATAATGAGTCAATTCAGACTGCCCTCCTTGCCTTATTGGATGTCCCTTTTTGCCAAATGGACAAAGGTGCATTTAAAAGGTGTTCCAATCAAAGATGTTCATTGTATTCCTGTGATATGGGGGGAACAGTTCATGTTAGATGCTGTTAAGCATAAAAATAAGCACAGATCAGAGCCACAACAGTCCCTGAAACTTCTGAAGGTACAGGAAGGAAAAACACAGAAGAAAACAATTTCAGGTTATCACCAAACCTTTGTGATTCGTTACAATAAAAACAAAACCAGTATTTTGGGTGGCATGTAAAAATAGCTCACATTTACAAGGTTTGTCAATTTGATATAATCTTTTTAAACTGCTCAATTCATTAATTTAAATAACTTTGCAGAGTGCCAAAATTTTGACACAGGTGGCTTTGTTTGGCATCCTCAAGCAAGTGCAAGATAATTTGATTAAATTGGCTTTCACCAACCTGGTGCCCCCAGATGTTTTGGACTACAAGTCCCATCAGTCCTAGCATTATACAGGCATGTTGGCTGGGGCTGATGAGAGTTGTAGTCCAAAACACCTGGAAGGCACCAGGTTGGCAAAAACTGGATTAAATCATTGAGATCTACCACACATTGTCAGAAGGAATATTTTAATTATTTTCATTCAAGAATTTTAAACTGGAAGGGTTTCAAAAAAGAAACTAGTGTCTTCAACACACCAATTGGGATTGTTACACATAGATTAATTGGGCTCATCCACACTTTTGCTTGGCCCGTATTTTGATAGTACTGTGTACTGATTAATTCCTCTGAGTCCGAGAGCTTTTCTTGTCATTTTGTAGCTGTGCCTTATGAAAATCAGATCTTACCTGCTGATTCAGATCTTAGATGCACGGAAAACCTGAAAAGAGATTTTGCTTAACCAAGCTTCAATTCAGTGGAGTAAGATCGGATTTTGGCAAGGAACAGTTGCAGAATAACAAGAAAAGCTCTTGGACTGGGGGGGGGGCAGGAATTAAATGGTACACAAATACTGAGTCAGGCAGAAGTGTGGATGACCCCATTGACCAAAGTGTTAGTTGACTGATCTGTTTAACCCATTAAAGCCCTACTGTTAGCATAAAATTATACCACCATCCCAGATCTATTGGCACTTAGGTCTTGTTGAAATCAGGGTTTTATTCTTCCCCTCCTCCTGTAAGAATCCTAGAGACAATATGTGTGACCTCATTCCTTGTTTCATCCTGTTATAAGCAGACCTTATTCTCATATTTGTGTGCAGCTGCAGCCAAATGCAATGCTAACGCTTCAGCTCAAAATGTGTTTTTCCTGTTCCATCAATTTCAACAGGATTTGTTTTCAAATAAGCATGCTTAGCACTGCAGCCTAAGCCAAACACTGACATCCTAACCACCTTTGGGGCAAAAAGTTATTAAACGCAAGTTTGGTTGAAATTAATGGAAATAATGGTGCTCTCTTGCAGCCCCTATTCATTTTAGCAGGCTCAATCAGCATAACTGCCCACCAGAATGCACCCTTTAAAAGTTGGCATTGGAGATTACATTTCCCTATCCA